TGTTTAGTTAGCATTACTGACTGTCATGCACCATGCCCTCCACGTCTTCCTCTCACTTAGCGCCGCCCGACGATAAGGACATCGACACCACATCCCATGCCTCCAACATAGCTTTCTTAAGCCTCAAGTACGCCCCGGACAAGAAGTGCATTTGCCTCAAACAGACCAAATTCGAGCTCGCCTCCTCCATCTGTCCTCAGCATGGATACCACGACTCCAAAAGCAAGATAAAGAAACGGAAGAGCTTGTGTGTTGCCGGCGGTTCAAGGAAGAGAAAGGAGAGTGATATACAAGACCGAGACTTTGCGCCTCTCAGAAGGAGGACAACCAGAAATGCGACAGAGCTACAACGCCGGACGTCTCCAAATTCATCGTCTATTCGATACTTGAATTGCGCTAACAACACTGCAACAATCGTCGCGCGGGGCTTCATTGCAGAACTGTGTTTCATGAATGACTATCTCCGTCAAATTTTGGCCACTAGCAGTGCCTCGGACCCCTACATACGCTCCTTTCAATTCTCTGAATGCCCACCTCTAACCCAAATTGATTTCCTTGAATGGCCGCTCAGTGCTCGAATGACTATTTACCGCTACTTTCTGGTGGCGGCTAAAGCCGCAGTCATCTTTCCGGGCAAAAGGAGCGAGGAGACATTCCGCCAGCTAAACAAAAGACTGGATATGAGGATCCTCTACACGAATAGTCAAGTGTATCGCGAAGCCAGATCCGTGCTTTACGGTGAGAACAACTTCATCGCCGCAGAACCTACAGATTTCTTCCGTCCCACTGGCATCCAAGGTCTTCGGGCTAGCACGGCTAGGAAGATAAAGCATATCTCCTTTTTAACGAAAGGCACTGGTGCGCAGGTAAGCGACGTCGGCAGCAAAGCACTATCGACGTCCATCAACTCAACGATTCTCCTATGCCCGGCATTTCTCAGGCTCGACACTCTCACGATCCGATCTGAAGTTTTCCGGCCCCTCTTCGTGAGCATGTATAAGCTACAACAATATGCGGAAAATCACGGTCTCGATGGAAATATCATGTCGGCGTACAATAAGACTGATACCGTCATGAATGCGGCGGCAACGGTGGCTTACAAGGCGCTGAGGAGAAAATCACCATTCCAAGGACTAAGGGAGGTTGAAAATCGCTTCGAGAGTGCCCGTGTACCGAAGAAAGAACCGTGTCTCAAACATGTGATTGAGGTGTGTCTTTTCAGGAGCAGTGAATCCACGGAGGAGTGCCGGAAGCAGAGCCAGGCGCTGCGTGGAGCGATTTTGGACATGCTGTTTGAGGAGATGGAAAGAGACGTGCAAGGGGCGGATGAAAGGTTCCGAGACTTTGTGAGGCGGTATCCGGAGTGAGACATCTGATGGAAGACACTGCTTTGTGGGAAATACAGGACTACGAGACTACGACGTACAATTGTGAATGACCGTTTTTGGAAAACGGATGGCAAGCATCGTGTACTCATTTAATAAGCATAGTGCTGAGGCGTTTTGTGCTGTGGACACAGGCAAAGAAACACAACATACCCAAAAATCACATGAAAGCCGCGCCGATGACCCCTAACTGTGCATGAATCCTTACGGGTTAGAGGACCAACATCAAGACCGCCACGCATCAGGTTTGAGAATGTCTGTGGGGGTTTTCACATGTGCCCTTGTTCTCTTTAGATCCATAAATGTGGTCACCAACATTACTGTAGCATATCACTGATGAAACTCCCACCTGAGGAACAAGTACTATGTCAAATACACATTGTCGGCTCCAAGAAACGAAAAAGGAGATCAAGTCAGGCCGCTACGAGCATATAATTGCGGAAACCCCCAAGCAATAAAAATAGACCATGAGCGACAAACAGATGAATCAGCAGCCCTGTATCTTGGTGAAAGGGAAAGCTCACATGACTACAAGCCAAGGGGGAGCACAGGCCATAGGAGACTAATAGCGAAAGGGTGGATAGAAAGAGTTGAAGGTCCAGGTGGAACGGACGGTGCAGAGAGGTGTCATCTAGAATAGAACCATAGCTCCCATTCGAGCACTAGCACTCAACCAAGCAGCCAAGTAATCAACCCGCCATTCTCTTCCTAGTTACATGAACAGATAGGCAGATAGGTAGATAGTTCGTGCCGGAGAGAAACAGAAAAGAGAGGAAAAGAATGTAACCTTGAATATGAAACCCGAGCAGATTCATCGAGAGAACGACAACCGGGCGATTAACGGCAGGTATTAGATTCCATCTGGGACTCCGTGTGCATTTTTATTTGAGACACACCACTTCATAAGCAACAGAGGTTTTGATGATGCTGCGAATGTGAGCTGCCAGGCCGAAGTCCATGGAAGAAGGAGAAAAGAGCAAAAAGGGAGCTTCAACGAAAATTTATCCAGAAAAGTGCGCCAAGATGAATAATGCGTCGCCGTAATAGGTGTGGTCGGTACGGCAGATCATGATGGCACGTCCGTCAACCACACCAGTGGCTGAATAGTGCTCGCTAGTAGGAAAGTCAAAAATGTATAGCCACTTGGTTGTTATCGAGGCTCTTTTTGGCTCGCTTGATGCCAGATCGAGACCGGTCTGTGCCTCGTATTCCAAGGAAAGTCTATTGGCAGCACGACATGACAACACCGTGAGAACGCCAATGAAGCTCTTTGAACTTGGCGTGTTTCAGCTGAGCCTGGAGCCATGGTGCCAGATTTGGGGCTGAATTGGCGATGGACACTGCCAACACCACCAGCGGCTACACCATATCTAGCTCCAGCAGGACGGCACACGGCACAGTCTCGATGTCTTCTGTTCAAACGTCAAGGTCTCAGCCGCACCCTGACAGCTATTCAAATCCCCGCATCTCTCCCAGACATGCGGTCACTGTTCGCAAGGACTTTGTAACCTCCTGATGACAACCTTAAGCGGACATTCCTGCCCACTCATATCCAGTCCGCCAACATCAATGTCATCGCCGACCAAATCGCCGACGCTGCCCAATCGTACGATCCGTCCGCATCCTCCATCCTGGACAAACTCCCGGTCAGTACAGTAAAGTTGCTAGGAAGGACCATCGCTGGCCTAGACGCCATGGCTGCAGGTATGGCTATGGAGCAAAATCAACTCGTTGTCGTTACGAGATAGATCGTTCCTGTCCGGCAAGGCGTGCCGTGGTTTGTTGATGTGTTGGAACATCGATGGCTGGATCCTAATAGGTGCGCTTGTGGCCCCCTTTCCAACCAGTCTGTATACTACTCCAGGGTCAAAGCTAAGGTGAAGGCGGTAAGCACTCGAGGCAAGATGGCCAAGGTCTCTGGGAACGCAATGTTGCTAAAAGCCGGCCAACCCAGCGACAACGGCAAGGTGACGTTCAAGGTTCTCGACGCCCAGCCAAGGGAATGAAGAGCCAGAAGACATGGTTGAAGAAGCGCGGAATAGAGACCTCGTGTAATGCAGTCGTGCTGGTGGATGTTGGAGGAGCAGTAGACGTGCCTCTGGAGATGGTTGCGCGCATTCAGCGCGTGTGTATTATTTGGGAAGGCAGAGAGATGCAGAAGTGCTTTGGGAATCAATGGGGGGTGCCAGTCTTACGTTGAAATACCGTTTTCACCTCGGGTAATAGAAGCAGCATAGCTGTGTGGAGACCATCGTGGCTAACTAGGGAGTTAGGTGAAAGGAGTAGTTCGAACTAGACCTTTTCGCGGCCGTTCTAGGCCTAGGCGAGGAAGGTGGAGCGAAGAAAAGGCAGCCTTGTTAGTGTTACGACGGCCTCACTAATAGTCTGACCACTGCACCGAAATAAGCATATAGCTAAGTGGCCCAGCATTCTGCCATAGAATGCTAGAATTACTAGTCTTTTTGGTTAAACGCCATCAGAAATTCTGGCTGGCAGGTAGCCAAGACATATGAAGTATGAAGACCTTTACGCACGTGCCTCTGTAATTTCCCGAACAATAGAGAGTTAGATAGGTCCCCTAGCCCTGTTGGAATCTATCATGCCCTCTGTTGGATCACACCTGTCACAAAACTTAGACCGTTGCAACAATGTAGCAAAATTGCTTGTCGGGAAAGCATGAGATGGACTTATGAAGGACTGAGTATGTCAAGGGGCGTGATGAGCTGTAGCAGCGTGAGTGGAATAACGGAATCTCAATCAGTTGGACAAACCAGCGTGCCCCTGTTCTCTTTGAGAGGATCTAAGCCCTCGGCTCCGGATATGATCTCGGGAATGTAGCCAACTGTCAAGAGGATAATAACAAGCCAGATTTTGCAAAGATTATGCCTGTCAACTCAGTCAGTAGACCCCAACCTTGTCTCAACCGCCGTTGTCAAAGCCTCATGGACGAGCTAATCCACCTTATACAGTTCAGGACCTTTATGAACTTTAGCGTCTCTCTGCTCCGTTTACTGACTCCGCACAGGAGCTTGTGAGAGTTCCCTAGAGCTGGTTCGGGACCCTTTACCATCAAGGGCTGCTTGCGATCTTAAGCGACTCCCTAACGACACTTGAAGGGATGCGCTCTAATTTTCCCCCGCTGGTGGGAGAGTTGAGATGTGTCTCCTGTTTTGCCTAGGAGAGTTTTGCTATCCTCACTCATCGGAAGTGTATTGTGCTGGGGTGAGCCACGATGGGCCTACTGTAACAGGACCGCTCCTCAGCTGAAATGAGGTCATGGGGCGATAGCTTCTTACAGACACAAGCCTTTTGGGATCGGCATTCTTCAAAGAGGAAGGATGGCCAAAATCACCAAGCCGGCACTTACAGACCAATTCAATTAGTGGCGATAACCCGTGATTCTCGCAGAAAGGGCAAGCTTAAAATACAAAGCCGGCTTTGCATTTAGGGTGTAATAGGCTAACATACTAGCTCAGGACGGTGATATGACCACAACCATAGAGCAAAAAGATGATGCTCGTAATTGCTCAGCCTAATCCAGAATGTCGACGCAAGTCAGTGAATCAAGGGCTTGAAGTGTCTCCTCAGGCTTTCAATATTCAACCTTTTTACGACTCATTCCAAAAATATGAGGCTGAAGTTGGTCCGCTTTTGCACCGACGCTAGCTCATCAGACAGACATATTCTGGCGGCTTGTGAGTATTCGTCGCCCGTTGCGTGAGGCAAATACTGGCCAGCAGCAGACACGAATGCCTCTTGGGCTTTGACTAACGTTGCAGCTGTTGGTTCAGCCCCAAAGCGATCGGTGGATACACGACTGGCCGCCTTCCACTGTCCAATCTCAAGTAACAAGATACCAAGGGCGTAGGCATCATGGATGCGAGTGGAATTAGCGGAGAGCAACCCTTGCTTTTTCGGATGCCGGTAGATGTCTCCTTCAACTTCGAATTGAAGACGATTTGTTTCCACCATCTCTAGGCGGGCATGTGCAAAGTTCACCAGGTAGAGCTTCTCGAAATCAGGGGCCGGATCCGAGGACCTAAAAATGACCACAGATCGCAAATGAATGGATTTGTGAATCCAGCCGTCAGCATGAAATGAGGCAACTGTTTTTGTAATTGTGCTAGCAATGCGAAATCGCAAGTTAAGCGACAGGTGCCGGTAGGTCGTTTTCACGCCTTCGAGCAGCGAGAGGAGATTTATGACATCGCTTTTGTCGCAGTTCTCCTCTGGGTAGTCGAAGATAAAAGCCTGTCACTGATCTGAGTGTTGATGAAGATCCTCCTTAAAGGGGAGAGTGTGGAAATCTGGATTGCCGGCTGAAGCCAATAGCATTGCCAACTCGTTTATATCGCTGGGGTTTGATGGATATGGATTCAGTGAGCCAAGTACTGACGACAAGGGAGGGTCTTCCGCTGCAAAAACAATTGCCGAGCGAGTCTTGTACTCAACAAGAACATCTACTTTGCAACATGTTCTTTCATTTTCTAGTGTCCCACGGCACATTTTTGATGACGCGGAAGCTGGATGGACTTCGTTCCGATAGACCGGCGGCGACCGACGGAGGTCTTTGAGAATTTATATCATAAGCATTTGCAAGCTTCTGGTATTGAGTCAGAAGCCCTAGCTGGCGCTCCAAAACCCTTCCCACATCTTCTACCCATGGCTGACAGTCTACAGAGGTGACCAAATTATCCAACGTGTTGTCTTTCTCGAGAAACATCGGACCGAAATATCCGCGGGCGGTGACTTCATGCTCGAACTTGTTTTGTAAAGCCTTCCAATCTTCGTCCTTGGACTTGATCTCTCGCACAGTTTGACTGATGAATTTCGTGACACGGTAAACATCTCGAAACAGGTTCAGAGTTCCCGTTGCTGCTGAGTATGGGTCCATGTCTGGCGATGATTTAGTTGGGTTGTGACTGAGAAATCTGCCGGCCTTGAAACCCAAATAAGAAGACACGAATAATAGTAGTTCAGCTAGAAACCACGTTCCTGCATGATCCAACGACAGTATTCCAGAGATGTTTGCTGCCTAATGTGCCACCTGCGTTAGCTATGACAAGATATGAGAAGTTGCAGCGACTCTTGTGAAGACCTCCGTCCGATACAATGAATCCAGAATTGAAGCAAATGGAAACGCAAGGCGCCGAATCCTAGACTCCATTGAGCCAGGGCCCGACGAAGCTTCACGCATCGGACATCCTCGTCATCAAACATGTCGCATATCAAGGGGAAGTCGATATCCCATATCGGTTTCGGCGAGTCCACGGCCAAGGAGGCTTTGCGTCAGTCCACGAAGTCGAACATCATCAAACGAAGGAAATTGATGCTCAGAAGGAGTTGCGGGTCGTTCAATCGGGGCCGGGGATGTGGTGCGACATCCTGAGTGAACTTGAAATCATGAAAAAGCTCCATCACATCCATACGGTCAGATTTGTTGCCACTTATTCATCTTGAAATATTGTGTCTTTGCTTTATGACCCAGTTGCGGACTGCGATCTGGAGAGATTCATGGGAAGAGAATGAGACGTACCCCATGAAGAGAGAAGAAGGAGATATTGATGAGTTGGTTTGGCTGTCTCGCAGGTGGACTTGCATACCTTCACAGGAAAGGAATTCGCCACAAAGATATTAAGCCGAGAAACATCTTGGTAAAGGGGTCAAATGTCCTCTACACCGATTTTGGGCTTCCAAGAGATATTGCGCTCTGAGACACCTCAAGGACGGAGGGGCCGACTGCAATGACTCGCATGTATGCGGCGCCTGAAGTCGCAGAGCTCGGATGTGTCTTTCTAGAAATGCTCTCTGTGATTTTGCAAAGGTCAAGAGAGGACTTGATCGAGATGTGTATTCAGAGTGACGAAAAGGCATACTTCGACATCTTGCCAGAAATATATCGCTGATTGGACAACTGCCGCAGGTACCGATCGTCGGTAATAAGCAAAAAGAAGCTGAAACATGTGGTTGGGCTTATCAACGACTTACTGCTTTAAGATCCTGAACGCAGAACCAGTGCCGAGGCGACAAGGATAGGGTTCTTCCTTTTGGGATCCAAGCATTCTTGTTACGACGTTTTTCGATCCTACACACCTCCCAACCTGCCGGACGAGAAAAATCTTATTTCAATAAATCAGTTGTTAGGGTCATTTCTTCTCGAACCGAATACTGACACTGCCGACTACCAGCAGCTCGGAAAGCGTCGAGGTATTCCGCAAACGGGGGAAAGTGTATCAACTACCTCCTCTAGCTGGACTGAAACAACATCCACAGAAGAACTGGAGACGCCGAAGATCTCAGAACTGAGCAATGAAAACGGAGCTGAGAGGTACCCGTTACGATCTGGGGACCGAATACCAGTGGCTTTGGATGCCCAACAGTCGATTCCATTGCCGATTGCGTACAAGCGCTTTTCACAGGATTGTCCAGGGAAACATAGGCTCTGCAAAGTTGAGCAGCACCCCCGAAACCACATTACAGGGGAACATCCAAAAGAGGATGATCAAGTCCTTTTCCAGTTGTAAGTATTCCACCCTAAGCCTCGAAGGTAGATGACACTAATCGAGCTTTCAAAGGTCAATCCAGTGGTTCAACAGGTCATGACTAGAGCATTGCTGCTCGTTTGGATTAGATTAATGTGAGTTCTATTGGTGAGAGCTGAAATGCCACTGTTTTAGTTCTGGGAAATTGATGTCTTTCAAGTCAGGTTACCGACGTTAGCACTATCAGTGTCTAATCCTGATCGATACTTAATCAATGCTGTTTCGAAGATAATTGAATTGCTCCCTGCAAAGTTGCATCAATATTGCAGTCTAAAACACGGTGAATCAAAGGGGCTCGTGGCAAGGCTATGTAAGGCTGATTTTGTAAAGGACTAGTCGACAGTCCTTGTAAAACAGCCCCGCGCTTACTACGAATCCATTGATCCGCACCTGCGCCTTTAAAGAGATCCTTATCTCGCTGGAGTTCCATTGTTATTGCTGCTGCAACCGCAGAATGGAATCACTGGGGTCCACATCTAGCGAATAGTCATTAGGGAATAGACTCAGAAGTGGGTGTCGCAATTGGGGTCGCCTGAGGGGAAAGAAATAACACGAGGCAGAATCGTGCCAAACGCTCACCCAGCACAGCCCCAACCAGCGAACCAACCGCAGCAATTTCTTGCATTTTGGTATTCCTGTGCCGAGATTAAGCAACATCGGCCCATAGCCTGGTTGATTGGGTGGTGCCTTTCTCCAGGCAGCACTATGGCCGAAAGAGAAACCTTGAGGGCACTCATGGCAACAATAACCGAGCATGAAGCCACGAAATTGGGCCTGGTGTTACCGGCTTGTTGAAAACACCCAAGACTGGGAACCAAGGGGGTCATGTTGTGGGTCCCGATGCTCTTCCTTTATACCTCAGTGCTCTTCTTAGGGATCCTGGCTGAGACTCAGTTAAGACGAGGCTCCGTTGAACTTCAGATGAACGCAGCTTCTGCTCAGCCTCTAGGTTGATATTTTCCGTTCACAAGGAATAGGTGTACTTAACCGTAGTAACGGATGAAGCCTTGACCGTAAGAAAGTTCAAGAGCCAAGCATTCCTAGGCACATAAGCCAAGTTCACTCGAGGCTTAGTTCAACAGGCTTGTCTGCGAAGAAGCTATACTCCGTACATATACTCCTCATTACTTCCCTAGCTTGTATCCTCGATCCTGATGTCTCGATCTCGATTCTCCAACATCAATTCCTCCCCGCACGATTCTCCCACGTCTGCTCCCGGCGTATGTCGGCGTAGACCATGATAACACATCTGTCCCTCGGCAAACACCAACTAAGTCGAATCGCCGCGGGACTTTCTGAATGGAGGCTCGTCTATATAAGCGGCAGCCAGGCTGCCTGGTCAAGCCTTCCCCCGGCACACCCAGGTCGTTTGGGGTAAGTCGTTGACAATGGCAAAAGCATTCACGGCGTATCAAGCCTCGCTAGAGAGGGAAGGCGTCTACATCGGTGGCTGGACGTTGCGAGGCGCCTTGATTCCCCAGAAAAAGGATGGCAAACACGACACTAGCGAGGACCGCATCCAGAACGCCAACGTCTTTACCCCGGACTGGAGCCCCGAAGAAGAAATAAAACTGGTCCGCAAACTCGACTTTCGTGTTCTGTTCCCGGCGTGTATCATCTACTTTCTGGCCTATATGGATCGAGCCAATCTCGGAAATGTGAAGATCTTGGGTCTGGGGACCAGTTCCTCCATCGAGGGAGCCCTAGGGATGGAAGGCTCCGACTTCAGCTGGGCCGTTTCCATCACCTACTTTGCTGTCACGGCGGGCCTCTTGCCTTCGAACATCATGATGAAAAAGTTTTCGGCCAAGTACTTCTTCCCCGTTGTCATGGTTCTCTGGGGCGTCATCGTCATGTCCATGGCCGCCTGCAAGAACCGAGCAGGACTTCTGGCCGCGCGCTTCTTTCTCGGCATCCCTGAATCCGGAGTGGTTCCAGCGTGTGTCATGTATTTCTCCATGTGGTACAAACCCTCTGAGAGAGCGTTCCGCATTGGCGTCTTTCACAGCGCCAACGCCCTGGCATCAGCCGTGTCGGCATTCATAGCCGCAGGCATTGGACACCTGAATGGTCGGGATGGACTCGATTCCTGGCAATGGGTCTTTATCATTGAAGGAGCCTTGCCCATCGCCATGGCGCCCGTCCTGCTTCTTCTCCTGTTGACCTTCCCAGAAACATCCACGGCGCTGTCGGAGAGAGAGCGGTACATCGCAATCAACAGGTTTGGCAGAGGATCCGCAAGAAAGACCGATGTCAGTTGGAGTTGGCCTGCGTTCCGGCGCATCTTCAAGCGGCCTTCGACCTACGTCTTCTTCATCTCCTACGTATCTCTGTGCATGGTCGCCGTTGCTCAAGCCACCTACCTACCTACCATTCTAAAGGTCTTCCTTGGCTATTCGACGACAAAGTCCAACCTTTATACCGCGGCCTGCAATCTGAGTATCATTCCCTTGTATTGGATCTGGAGTACGCATTCCGACTGGACTCGAGAGCGCATGTGGCATTACCTTCTCCCTGTCGTTGCATCCGTGCCGTGCTATGCGGTTTGGACCTATACCTCGACGCACCCGGAAGCCCGGGGAACTGCGATCGAGACAACCGCCCTGTACGGAATGGCCTATCTGGGGCAAATGGTACTGATCTCGCAACCGATAGTCCTGAGCTACCGCTCTTCAACTCTCTATGGCGCTGCCGAGCAAGCTGTCGGTGTAGCCGCTGCAGTTGCGTCGCTGACGATAGCGAGCATTATCGCCCCTCAAGTCTGTTCTATCCTCCAAACCTTTGACTCTGCAAAGCTGACCAACTATCTACAGATGTACCCCAATCAAGATGCCCCCCGTTACCTAGCAGGGTTCGCCGGCACGCTGGCGCTGTTGGTTGTGTGTATTATCTCATACCTTACCCTGCCGCTCTGGCTGCTACGGGAAGCCAACATTCGGAAGAAAAAGACGGGCCACGCCATGCCGCTCCAGGTATGGAAGTTTTTGTCCCCTTCCCTCGCGATGCATCCAGTTTAGTTTTGTTCCCGCTGATGTTTTTCATTATTTTCCCGTCCAGGCCATCGAAGACGCCGAAAGGAGCATGGTCACGGACGCTGCGCACGAGTTCATCCATCGGCTCAACGAGCAGGAGGAAATGGAAATGTTTGCCACCAAGGGCGTCGAGGCCGGGGCGGCCGAGGTCCAGCACGTTGAGCAGCCCAAGTCGATCTAGATTCTACATGCCGAACAGAGAGATCGATCGTGGGGGTCGGAAGCATGGGCCATATTTCGGGTCTACAATGACCAACAATAATACTCCATTGTGGCCCTGGGCAACTCTTACTTATTTACCATGCATGCGGCGCGTCGGAACAATGTAATGCTTTCAAGACCGAGGGGGTCGCGGGTCTGAAAGTGTCAGTCTTGTTGAGTGTTGCTATGGATGTCATGGCATGGTATGGTACGGATCAATGGCCCCGATTGTGAGATGGAGAGGTGGGGGAGATTGAGAGAATACGGATGAACTGGATGACTATATAAGGCTTTACAGTAGATACTAGAGCCACCGCCAAAGGAAAATTACCCATCTCTGTATTATCCTAGGTTGTGGTAGTAGTGGGAGGTGTCGAAAATAGGGATTTCATGTGCCTTCAAGCTCTGCGTGCGTCTTTTAGCTGTGTCTTCTTGGCTCCATGTGTCCCATGTGTCCGTGTCTTCCTGTCTTGTCTTGCCTGCATAGCCATGTCCTGAGCCAAATGCTCTAGGATGCTGTTCTTTTCAAGAAGCATCCCCATCCCTTTGACACAGCCCGAGAGACGTTTATATTGTGACAGTCTGATCCGGTCTGTCTATTCTAAACTGGTATCTGGTCTTTTCTCTGCCTGCTTTCTTCACAACAAAAACCCCCAGACAGGGCTCAAAGCTTTGCCTTTCTCGCCGCATCCTTCTTGAGAGCGGGAGCACTAGCAGACCATATCTGGACGTCGGGAATCTGCGCGTAGTTCTCAGGGAAGAGTAAAGGACCTGTGGCTTTCTTGGACACTTTCCCCGTCGCCGTCTTCGGCAGCTCGCCATCGATGACTCGCAGGAGCGTGGGGAGCTTGTACCTGGCCAGCTTATCGGCGAGATCCTTTCTAAGCTGCTCGAGCGTGAGTTGCCGTCCTCCTCTGGACCCGTCATCGCTGCCGCCGCGGAACGAGTACGCGTACGTCGTCTGGTCGGCGCGCAGGCTCACGGCCGCGGCGACGCGCTGGCCCCATTCCGCGTCGTCGACGCCCACGACCATCACCTCATTGATGTACGGCAGGCCCAGGCACTCGCGCTCCACATCGAGCGCCGAGATCTTGTAGCCGCCCGACTTGAGGATATCCACGGACGCGCGGCCCAGGATGAAGTAGTACGCCCCTTCGCGCCGTGCGATGTCCCCCGTTTTGTAGAAGCCATTAGCGTCGTGCGCGGCTCGCGTGGCCTGCTCGTCGGAGAGATACCTGTTGTGAGAAATTGCGAACTTAGAGACAACGGACATGAAAACAGAAACGGACAAGGACACGAACACTTCGATGCAGCGCTACTGGCGGAAAAAGGATAGTGGATGATATTGATGGTGCCGGTGCTGGTGCTGGTGCTTGTCGCAACCACAGATACGTACCCCATAAACATACTTGGGCTCTTGACCAACAGTTCGCCTTCATCGCTCCCGTCTGCGAAACGGACTTCCACTCCAGGAGAACAGACCCCGACAGAGCCAGAAGGGGTGTCACCGGGGTCAAGGGCCATTTTGAAAACCGCCCCAGACTCCGTGCTCCCGTAGCGTGTCAGGATGCGTTTGCCTCCCCTGAGGGTTTCCCAGAACTCCTCCACGGGCCGGGGTAGAGCGGACGTGCCGCAGAGCATGCCGCGGATCCGCGTGGCCGCCGCTGCTGTCGTAACGGACTCGATGTTCGCAGAGGGTGAGGATGAGGATTGTTGCTGCTGCTGGAAATGGCGCATCATCCGCACATACATGGTAGGGACACCCGTGAAGAAGGTGACCCCTCCCCGTTTCCACCTCTCCCACGTCCACTCGGCGCTGAACGGCCCGCTACGGAACTCAATACAAGCGCCGCGAATCAGGAAGGGGAAGAAGGAGAGATAAGCACCGGTGGCATGGTGCACGGGGAGGAGGTGTAGGATGCGGTCTTCTTCTGCGACCTTGTAGTGGTCTGCAACTGAGCGCGCGACTTCGTGGATCATGGCCCGTCGATGCAGTGCGCCCTTCGGCCTGCCTGTGGTTCCGGATGTAAAAATGACGAAACCCGGCGCATTGTCGTCCGGGTATCTGTCCGACGAGATCACTATGTCCTGGGGTCGATAGCTCCAACTCTTGAGCAAGGGCGCAATGAGGATCCTGCAAAAGTCGGACTTGTTACGCAGCCTTCTGACGGCGTTTTCCAAGACGGTCCCGAGCTGGTCGCAGTTTCCGGCCGTCAGCACCGCTACGCACTGGGCTTTTTCTATAAAATAAGACGCCTCCTCCACAGGAGCCTGCGGGCCTGACATGTATTGAAAATGGCTTAGTTTTTATTTTCCCACATCTTGTGGTTTGCAAAAGGGGGGCGGGCGGGGAGCTTTGACATTGCTTACTGATGGGAACCACGACAGCTCCCAGGGCGAGGAGGCCGAGAACTGCTACGGTGAACTCGTAGCCTCCTGGAGCCAGGACCGCGACAAAGACGCGTGCTCCACCATCACCACGGCCCAGGAGGTCCTTTGCTATAGTCTCATCCAGGCGTTCAAGAAGGTCATTCCGCATCTCCAGGACATCAGTCAGCAACTGGATTCGGGATTTCTCTACGTCGAGGTTGACGTCGGCGACGATGGGTCTCGCGGGCGCATCATGAGCCAGCCGCAGCATCTGATTGAAGAAGGGACAGTTGGGCAAAACATTCCTGCCGTTGTGCGGTGGTACGAAGTCAGATCGGTCCTGGATATGCATCTTGTTCGTGTAGAGCTCAGCAACCCATGAGTCTCTGAAGGGGCGAAGGAGGAGAGACAGAGAGACATGCGACTTTCAAGGACACAACCTCTTCATCGCGTGCGAGTATGTGTTCCATCTGGCGACATATTGTCACCTTGACCCACATATCGCCGCGGCTGTCTTAAAAGGAGGAGAAATCGCCGTCTGTCGGCTGAAGAATGCCGAAAGAACGTGGAGGAGCCACCTACCAAACCGGGTCATCGGTCCCTAGCCAATGCGGAGTATCAACTTACCTTCTGCTATGGTTGTCGACGATGTGCCCCTTTACCTTCGTGTTGTGTTCATGGTGCCCCTCAGTTAAAGAAGGGGAATTAAAACAAGATGAACAACAACAGAAAAGAGACGGCGAGTAACGCCAAGCCATATATTTGTAATGACGCCAAATGACAGCGAGTTTTCTATCTCGCTCCGGGCTCGCTCATTCAATTTGCCGGAAGCCGCCCAAAGGCACCAATCCTAGAAGAACGATTCACAACTCCTTGGACATGATCCAATCCATCTGAATACACTTGCCCATCTTGAACTCATGGTCCCCGACCTTGACAAATCCCAATCCCTCATACACCTTTTGGGCGCGAAAGTTGCCCTCCCAGACGCCCAGCCACAGTGCTCTGTAACCCAGACGCCGGGCTTCGTGTTCAATTTGGCTCGCCAGAAGCTTTCCGATTCCGTAGCCATGGAATGCCGTGGAGACGTACAAGCGCTGCAGTTCGGCGATGAATGGGATGTCCGAGATGCAGGGCTCTGAGGTGCCTTCTGTGAGTTGCGCAAAGCCGATTATTTCCTCCTCGCCATTCGCTTCGTTGGCGTTGGCTGTCGAACCGTTGGGGACCGAGGATCTCTGAGAAGAAGCAACGAGAATATGCTTTGTCGCACACCGGATGTCCTCTTCAATAGCCTCAACACTATATGCCTCGGCCAGGTACGCATTCAGATCGTTCGTTGGAATACTGAAACCAAAGGTCGAGGAGAAGACTGTTGAGCCTAGGCGCGCAATTGCTGGGGCATCCGCGATTGTAGCCTCACGGATAGTAAATGATGGCTTTGTTCTCAGTGCCAAAGCGTCAATGTTTATCGGTTTGGATCGTAACTGAACAGCTGTAGGTGAAGAAATATGTGCATTGTAAGGATATTCTAGATATTCAGCCGGCGCAGGCGGAGCTGATGACGGTGGGTGAGGAAGTGGGTGTTGATGGTGAACAAGCATTGTCTCCTTGCTTGGGCAGCTCTGTATATGTGGTGTATTTGCTGAATAGGAGCTATGAGACGCCTTCAAAACACCAACTAAATCAAATGCATTCAATTCATCGACAGAGAGGGCCGCTCTAGCGCAGATAATATATCTATTGTATTCCTTTCTTGAAAATCAAAGGTACCTTGGAGTGCAGGGGGAGATAAGCCATTTCCTGAGGCGTCTGTGCCCTACGCCCTGCGCTGTACAGTGCCTTGGCCCACTCAGAAGTCAAATCATTGTAAGGGCCGCTCAGCCCGGAAGGCGGGGTGAAGGAGACTTCATCAGCCCTGAGGATGCTTCTTTTTCTTTTTCTGGGCCACACTAAATTAGGTGGCTAAGTACGGAGTAGTACGCCCTTCCATCAACAACGGAGGCCCCTTGAAAATTTCGTGGCAATGATTGCGCCCTTTTAACGATTATTGTCCGGGAAGCAGAGCGGAATGGAGAAGAAAGCAATGAATTAAGTGACTGAATATTTCCGGGGGCTTTCTTGTTATGAAACTGTTACCTCAAGAAAAGGAAGAGAGGCATGGGGCGGTAAATCGAAGGCCGTGGATATCCGACACCAGCTTGCTCCTCGGGGGCTCTAGATCGGGAAGGTGGGAAAGCACTTGGTCTTTTGAAAAAAAATCTCCTCGATCGTTGCACGCGTATTCCTGCAGGACGATGTACGGAGTAACTCCAACGCAAAAGAGCTTGAGCAACCTACTGGTGTTTGAGACGGATTCTTCCTCGAGATGTTATTAGAGTCAATCATCCAAGAGAAAAGGCGCAAGGAACCGTGTAACTCACTGGTTTCAACAGTCTTGTACACTGCGTGACTGTCAACTACTTCTTTTTGGTCCCATCCTTTCCATTCTTCGAATCCTTCATGTCCTTCCCATTGGCGTTGCCCCCGTCCTTTGCTTTGCCATTGTCCTGTTTATCATCTGCCTTTCCCTCCGTCTCTTCGGGCTGGGCTTCATCTGACTCAGGCTCATTGTGTCCCGTCACCAGGGCTTCCCAGACAGCGTATCCAAAAACCACAACCCCAATAGCAAATGTAATCTTAAGAAAGATTTTCGCAGGTCTACCGTACTTGAAGACCCAACTGGCAAGCCATTTCATGGCAGGTGTGACCAGTTGCTCTCTTTCTCTGACCAGGTCCGGATTAACCGTGAACAGCAACGCAATCAACGCCAGCAGGATCAGGAGTAATGTGATAACCGTCACGACCTGGATCACGGCCAGGAGAATTGCAATGTCTTTGGTCGTTTGGAGCACTTTGAATCCAGCGGCGACCAGCGGCGTGACCTGCTCGAAGGCAGAGTGAATCTCTTTGGAGTAAGGGAGTCCCATTTTACCATGGACGGGGACACTATACCTCCGGGATATATGATGACAGGCAGGTCTATTCAGAGCAGGGCTGGAATACTTACTGGAATGATGTTAGATCCTATGCATAGAGTGACGATCTCATGTCTTATACTCCGTAAACAGGGACACAATGGTGCAGGATGTTGAGGATGTCAGAGTGATGTCATCATCACAGAGGCATGCCAGACTCAGCCTTACCACTCGCAGCCTTGGCTTGGCAGCTCAAGGAGACACTCCCGCGCCGCGCCGCTTTTAGGTGCCCGCGTTTCGTGCCTCACCCTCTCTATATAGTTTGTTCTCTTTGCCCGCTCATTGTCAACGGTTGCTGTGATCTTTCCGTTCATGAACATCCTGCTGGCTTGACGGCCAGTGATTTACTTTCGATCCCCTTGCATTCGTCTGGCAGCAATTCTGCGCAGAGGACCCCAACGTCATCCCCTGATCCAAGGTCACCACGGCTAGCCCACATCCCGCCCCATGGCGCTCGCATCACACATCAGAACGCATATCTGGATCCGAAAACCCTAGATCATCCTCCTGCGACTGTCAACCCCTACTATCATGACTCTTCTGGATCAGACCTCAGAATGACATGTCGACCTGGGACTGGGCTGATTTCTCAGGAACAATTGGTATCCCTACGAGGTACTCAAAAGCATCTATGCTGGACTCCGCGCAGTCCGGACAGAAAGCGTCGAGATCTACTACTATCAAGCTCAGACGGCAAACAAATTAAGCAACGAACAGTTTCAGGCCTGGATTGGCTTACGTCGTAAACAGAAGCTAATGTTCATTTTGCTCTACATTTTATCCTCTATAGGCGAGGCTCAGAGAAGAGAAACCTCACGCCGTAGCGGCGACCTGCATAGCGCGGGCCTCTTTCGCGGCGGGATGCTGGTAGCGGGCGGCGATGAGACGCTCGCGGAAGTACTCGCCGGCGTTGACCTCCTCGTACTTGCTGTCCTCCTCGACGCAGGTAGGCACAGTGGCGAGGGTGGCCTCGCGGTTGGGGCTGAAGAAAAAAGGCATCGAGTATCGCTCTTTGCCGCTCTTGTTGACGACGCGGTGCACCGTCGACTTGAACTTGTCGTTGGTGATGCGGCTAAGGAAGTCGCCAATATTGACTACGTAGCTGCGCGGGCGCGGCGGCGCGTCGATCCAGATGCCGTTGGCGTTGAGGACCTGCAATGCCTCGACGGACTCCTGGAGCACGAGGGTGAAGAAGTCGTAATCGGTATGCGCCCCGAGGCCAATGTCAGCGCCACCAGGCACGGGCTGGGGCGGATAGTGCAGAATGCGCACGCCACCCATGGGAAACGACGTGGCTTCGTCAAAGTAATTCTCGGGCAGATCGAGCGCCAAGGCGAAGATCTGCATCAGCTTCTTGGAGAGGGACATGACCGCGTGGAAGTATCGGTACATGACGGGACGGAACTCAGGGTACGCTGAGGGCCAGCAGTTGCTGCGCGCAATCGCCGTCGACTTAACGCCGCTGGGCGCCTGCGACTCTGGCTCCGTGGCGTCATCACCCATGGTGAACGCTTCCTTCATGTCTACCGTCGTGGCGTCGTGGTTAGCCTGATTGTGCACACGGTGGGCGAGACGATGGACGAACCTCCCTTGCCAGCGCCCTCCATCTTAGTCTCGAACAGCGGCTCGTACCCTCGGAGCGCCTTGGATTTGTGGATGTGCACTTCCATCTTCTCCTCGTGCGAGAGGTCAAAGAATTTCTTGACGGCGGCGAATGTCTGGTCGATGACCTCGTCCGGAATGTTGTGGTTCTCGGCGTAGAAGAAGCCGACCTCACGACACGCCTGGCCCACCTCGCTCGCGACCTTCTTGCGGTCCTCGAGAGAGGAGGAGAAGATGCCCGAGATGTCGATCACAGGAATGGACTCGAACGTCTTCTTCGCCGCCGCTCCTCGAAGGACAGGGCGCGAGCCCCGCTTGCCGCCAGCATGGTAGTGGACGTACTGCGAGCGCCGGTCAGAGGCGCCGGGGACCTGCAACGACGGTAGCTTACCTCAACCTCGTCACGACCGAGAGAGCCCATTGTGACAATGGTCTAGGCTGGGTGTGCGTGTCAATGAGGTGGTTAGACTGGTATCCCGGGCCTAGGTAGGGGTCTGCTAAGGCGTGATAGCCCCCTTGGCAGGACCTCCATGGCTTTTATATCATAAGAGCAGGCAGCGGGTTTGCCGACGAGCGATGCATCCTACGGCATTGCCGATGGGCGGACCTGAGCGCGCTGAGGGATCGCTAGAGTGATCACCAGTGGGCAAGTATTCTAAATCGATGAGGAGAAGGCCGGCACGTGGGGTGAGAGTTGAGAGAGGCGGGGCGATCTCCCGTGGTGGAGAGGGGCGGG